ATTCCATACCCTGTCTAACCACACACAGCCCTCCTCTTTTACCTGTGAGAAGCCGCAGCACTCAATTTTTACCACTAGCTCTCTCTTCCTTCTCAGAAGCACTGAGAACATAAGGTTTGTTTAGTCCATATGCAAAGGTGAAAGAGGATGTCTAGAATCAGGTTCAGTAGAAAAGACTCTAAAACTGAAAGATCAAAAGGAAGGGGAAGGCTTCTCATTTAAAATTGATGGATTCTTCCAAAGCACTGTAGGTCTCAGTTAGAACCACATAAGGGTTTTTAATTGACAAAGACCTAAAGAGCCGGGGAAAAAAATCCCTTCCATTCAAGAGAAATTGAAGAATCCAAAGGTGCTTTCTTATTTGCATTTTTATCTACCCAATACAATGGAGGCCAAGCATTACTGCATACAACAGTTGCAGTATTAGAATTATATAACATGAACTATTATCATGCACCACTAAGCCATTTCTGATCCAAAGATTCAAAAATTATGTACAGAGTCACACACACACTCGTGCCTAAAGATGGGCAGATCTGTGAAGTTAGATCGGTCTACTGGAATCAGTTGTTTAATTCAAGGCTCACTTGAATGAATTTCTGGCCAACTTAAATATGCAAATTTACATCAGATTTAGAGACTGGGTTCAACTCTTATCACTAATGAACAATGAGATGATGTGAAATAGAGTAAAAATCATCCTGCACTGAATGAGGTGTTCTCATTCTTGTGTTTTCCCCTTCACATTTGCACAGGAAACAGTTCACAAATTAACAGCTATAGATATAATGATAAAAACATACAAAGGGAAAACAATTAGAATATGCTGGCACACAGGGAAATGCATTGCATTCAATGTCTCCTATTTTTCAATTGTACTTTTAAGTTTGACATCTTATAATACCCACCCGTGCATTCTTTATCTCATAAATGGAGTGAGAGTCAGTTCTTCTATGTTTGAATCAATTTCTTAGAAATTATTTTGAAGCATAAATTAGAACATACTTTTTCTTCAGACTAGCTGAAAATGTCTCTTAATCTTTATTAAAATGAAACAGTACTAAATAAAAGTTTACTCAACCTGGAAGAAAACTGAGTTTTATCAGACCTGATGATCGTATGAGATCTATAACGTTTACTTGTCCTAATCTCAATTTCTGATCTATAAAGTATTGTCTTCATGAATTCTTGTTGATTGCTATCAATGCTTTTTTCAGAAGAGTTTATTTTCAGCATGCCTTTAAGGGCAGCGCTCACGCACACCACAAGGACATTGAGCACTCTGAAATCCTCAACTGCTTTTTTCTTTCTAGGCCAGTCCTGCAGTGATGTTCTCCAGAAAAGCTGAAGAGTGGCTTAAAAGTGAGAACATTTTTCTCTGTTGTTCAGGCTTTGATTTTTGTCTGCTCAGTAGAATCACTAATATGCCTTGTTTCACATATGTTTTGAGGAGCCAAACATCAGAGTTCAGATTCCAAGCACAGAAGATTAACCCAGACCATTTCTATTGAACTCTTTCTGTAGGCACCACGCACAGAAGCACAGCAGGATATTTTGTTCTCAACAGTTTCCAGAGCCTGTTTATAGACATATGTCTGTATATGCAATTCAAATATCTAGTGCTTTCAGATGCTTTAGTAACCTCTCATTTCATGGGGGATTATCCTTTTCCTTTTTCCCCAGAATGAAAAAAGGCCCCAACATAATATTTTTGTAATGGGTTGACCCTGGTTGGGTGCCAGACATCCACCACAGCTGCTCTATCACTCCCCTCTGCAACTGGACAGGGGAGAGAAAATATAACAGAAAGCTCATAAGAACAGGGAGAGATCGGGAGCTCACTCACCCAATACCATCACAGGCAAAATAGACTTGAATTGGGGATATTAACTGAATTTATTACCAACAATGTCAGAGCAGGTTAATGAGAAGTAATCTTAAAAACGCCTTCTTAAATCTTAAAACGCCTTCCCCCTACCCCTCCCTCCTTCCCAGCTCTACCTGCTCCTCTGCAGTGGCACAGGAAGACAGGGAACGGTTCCTGCCGTTGCTCAGGAGCAGGAGTCCTTCCCCTGCTCCACTGTGGGGTCCCTCCCATGGGAGACAGTCCTTCACAAACTTCTCCAACAGGAGTCCATCCCACATGCAACAGTTGTCCATGAACTGCTCCAACACGGCTCACTTTTCCACATGGTGCTATAGTCCTTCAAGAACAGCCTGCTCCAACATGAGTTACCCACAGGGTCACAAGTCCTAGCAGGAAAACCTGCTCCAGAGTGGGCTCCTCTCTCCACACATCTGCAGGTCCTTGCTAGAAGCCTGCTCCAGCATGGGTTTCTGACGTGTTCACAGCTCTCTCTTGGCCATCCACCTGCTCCAGCGTGGGTCTCCTCCACGGGCTGTGGGTGGATCTCTGCATCCCCATTGTCCGCCATGGGCTGCAGGGCCACAGCCTTCTTCACCATGGTCTGCACCACGGGCTTCAGGCGAACCTCAGCTCCGGTGCCTGGAGCACCTCCTCCCCCTCCTTCACTGACCTTGGTGTCTGCAGACTTGTTCCTCTCACATATTCTCACTCCACTCTTCTCTGTCTGCAATTACTTCTGCACAATAACTTTTTTCCCTTCCCAAATTTGTTATCACAGAGGTGTTAACACAATTCCTGGGCTTGGCCTTGGCCAGCAGCAGGTCCATCGTGGAGTCACCTGGCATTGCCTCTGGCGGACATGGGGGAAGCTTCTGGCAGCTTCTCACAGAAGCCACTCCTGTAGCCCCGCCCACTACCAAAACCTGGCCTTGCAAACACAACATACTTTTATAAGGAGATATATAGATATAGATTAGATATAGATAGATATACGTAAGTATAACAACCTACTGCAAGAGGATAGCAGGGTCTTACACGAGAATTTAGTTGAATTAACCTTCAGCTTTGTACCACATCTCTCTAATTGTCCTGAGTGCCACACAAAGGGATGCCAAGGAACAACTGATGAACCATCACCAGACCTAGAGGATCTGGTAATGCATGTTTTTTCTGTAGAGGGTGCAGGAGTGACTTCATTTATTGAATTGGAGAAGATCTATAGAGCATCACCTCAAAATAGAACAGGAAATTAATTTTTTTTTTCATCTTCTGCCCGCTATTTGGCCTGATATTCAACATTGGACTTTACCCAAAACTTTAAAATAGGCAGCTACTTTTAGCAGCAAAGTAAGTTCAGATCACTAGGTGCAGAGTAGATTATAGACTAGCAATCCCAGATCAAAAGGAAGAAACCAATAAAATAACTTATTACTCTGTACTATTTTCCAATTTAAATCTACAAGCCAATACAGCTAATTTATTATAGCATACAGAGTTGCAACAGATGAGGCAAAATGCCATCAACTACAGACTTTGTTGACAGACTCATAGCTAGGAAAATAAGAAAAATAACATCTGAGAAGCAGCAGAAAAATCAAGCAGTGGGGATTGGATTTCTTTGTCATAGGAGAGATGCTGAAGAAAAGTGTCATGGGAGAAACAGGAGATTACAAACCACGTACTCTACATAACAAAGTCCCTTTTTTCCCCTGGAGTAAGGATGCCAGTCAAAGCTCATTCACCAATGACATATGGTAAGTCAACTTCATGACTTTATTTCTTCTGTCAATAGAGGTAATACAGGCAAGAAACAGAAATCTACAGATAAATATACCAGGATATCTCCTCTGAGCAAAATCATCAGAAGGAGATGTAGATGTATTATCAAAATATGAAACGAGAGGAATCACTATCAGTTTCCAAAACCTTCCTTCTATCTCCCATACCTGCTGCAAGGATCTGGGGCCGGAAGATGTTTGTTGAATTTAGTGGAACAGAAGAACTCTAGTGTCATTGTCAACTCTTCCCTGGCCCCTCCAGTCCTTCTCTCTATTGTATGGGCAACCCTTTGCAATCCTGCTATCTTCTTCAGTACAGCCAACCTCCTGCCAAGAGACCTCCAGGGACAAGGCCATGACCTCTGTCTGAATGCGATAAAGAACAGGAAAAGTTTTATCCTGTAGTCTGAGATAGTTCATCCAGGGTAAAAGTCCATTGCTCTCCCTGATAATAAGGCATTAGCTCTCTCCCAGTGCCTCAGACTGAACCATCTTGTTTCCTCTGAAAAAACCCCTCACTTTAGGTGTTCACTTTAGGAGCTACTTTGCCTATATAATACTGAAAAGTCCACATACATTTGGCTTCATCCATGTCATCTCATCATATTAAGGACATACAACACAAATTCTTTTTGCCACATTACAAACTGAGAATTGCTATGGAGTGCAATGCTTATTATGCAGCCCTTATACTGTTTCATGAGATCTGAACTGAGGGAAAAAAGATCAGGATGTATCTTAGAATTCAGAAGAGACCAAGTGTTCAGCAGAATGGGCTAATTCTGAGAGGAGCATACTCAAGGTATTTTGTACTATATGCTAGAGCTTCTAAAATGCTGATGAAACACAGGTCAGTGCTTCACACATTTTTGGAAGAGACTTGGCATGTATACGTGATTCTCTGAAAGGCCAAGACAGACTGTGCTGTCTCAGCCACTGCCTGTTCCTACCAAAGCCTCTCATAATGCTCACATAACTCACAACTTACCAGTACTCCACATAGCATCTGATTGTAACATAAACAGGATTTAGGAAGCAGAAAGACCAGCTGAATGATCCTCATTGTTATACATCTCTGCAAGGTCAGGCAAGCACAGTGTGACCTACAGACATTCACTTTGTGCCAGCTGTTCTCTTATTCCAGGAAAATAATGTTGCTTTAATCTTATTTGCAAGAGTCTGATAAAAGAGAACCATTTATCATTCACTTTAAATAAATAAATCTCATTTAAAAATCATTGTGATGCAGCTTATATGTGATCTATATTGTTAACTTATCACTGCAAAAGCTGACAGGCCTAAAATTAGGTCGTCCAGATGCATATGGATATGGGGAAGAAAGATTGAACACCACACTGTCCCCCTGCTTCACTCTGCTCTACAGTGGTGAATATTGAAGTCAGAAACAAGCAGAGCAGAGAGCAGGACACTTGCGTATTTCAGTCCTTTCCTTGTGTTTCAGGACCCTCTTGAAACACAGGGAAAAGATGCTGTGGAAAACAAGAGATCACAGAAGAGGTCAGTAGTGTATTTGAGTGTGAGTGTTGGTGGTGATAATGAGTTGTCTGCCCAAGAAGCTAAAATGTCACCCATGTTACAGCCTTGTTTCATTTGTGTATACGGCTCACACACTTTTTAGGAGCTATATGATAAAAATTGTTTGGTTTTAAAGTGTCACAAGAGTTTTAAGACAGTTTACATATTGGACATGTAAGGATGCCAGTCAAAGCTCATTCATCAATGACATATAGTAAGTCAGTGGTATGATTTTAGGTTTCTTATGTAAACAGAGGTAATATAGGTAAAAAACAGAAAACTACAGACACATACACCATACATATACCACAGTATATTTCCTCTATTCAGCTTTACAACATGTTGCTGTGTGTAGAAGGACCTCAGGACCACAAAATCTATAGACTGCTAAACACAAGAGTTCAGAATACAGAAAAGCATGAATTTCCTAATAACCAGACACTCCACTGACAGGTCACATCCCATTTTCAGGCTTGGTAGAAATAATACAATAAAATATGAACTGTGGTCTGCCAGAGACCTTTCCTGAGAAAACAATGGTAAGGATTAAAATTATTTGTGTTCCTAGTGACTTGTGTTCTATGTTGTCTGATCCTTCCTCTTTTTATCTTGCATGCACACACAAGCACAGGGTAGCTGAAGCTGGCATGTGTGTGTAAATACATTACACCACCAAGTGTACAGGCACTCTCTGTGTAAAGGAAAGGAGACAAACCAGGATGCCAGGACGTCAAAATGTCCATACAAGTATTATTTATTCCTGTTTTGACCACTATGCTTAAGACTGCAAATAATCTTGTATACAGAAACATCTAAGAAATAGAATAACCAGAAAAAAAAAAAAGGAAAAAAAAAGAAAAATAAAAAAAGAACCCACAAAACCATGGAGGATCTGAGGAATCCAAGAACAGTAGTCTGTGCAGTGTTTCAAACCAAATGCAAAGACAATCAATGCTTCATGAAAGGCCTCTCTGTCTTTGTGTCTCTCTCTCTACTGAGGAAACGAATGGAGGGTGCTTAACACTGTACTTTTCTGTCTATAAGATGGGAATTCTGCACAGTGAAAAGTTACCAGAGAAAACAAGTGTTGAAAAGGAGGTCTATAATGTAAGAAGCCTTGAGGAGATGAAGAGGGAGCTCTGGGAAGGAGATAAGAGGAACATTCTTTTGTAGCAGGAATGCTGGTCTAGCTCCAAGAAGGTCTGGGGTTAAAGAAGAACTAAACTGGGAAGATTCAGCTGCTTGGGAGGCCAGTCACAAGCCACAAGAAAGCAATTCTGGGCTATCCCAGAGGGACTGATCCAACAGCTGAAAGAATGTTTCAGAGTAGTAAGAAAATTGAGGTGTAGAAACATATCCAGGATTTATTTATTTTCTAGTTCTTTTTTTTTCCCTATGCAATTGAGAGTAGTGTCACTTCTGAAAGGTATATACATAGCATTTAGCTCAGCTTCCCTGAGGAGTTATACTGTAGCCCAAGGTACACATGTAGTTGAAATTTTGAGAAAGGGTGCTAAACATACACAAATGTTTGAAGATGTTATGGCCAGTTTTAGGCCCTAGGAGGGCATCAGAGGCATAAGAGAAAAAACAGCACTACAGTCCATTTGTACACACAGAAATTTCTAGCAGCTGAGCTCAATGACATAGGGTCCAGGACAGCAGTCTGATGAGTGTCAGTACTGCAAAGACTTGATTAGATCCCTGACAGATCATTAGGCATGTCTTTTCAAAGTAAGCACGCTCTGGATTACACAACTACACAGTTAACCCAGACTCAGAAATACTCTTAATTAACTTTCAAGAACATTGCATGCGCTTGAACCATTTAACAATCACTCCTGTTCAACTTTTGACATGAATGTTTTCTGTAAGTGTTGTGAGAATATTACGAACAAAATAAAATTATGCAAATGTGTCTCTGCGTCTTTCTATCTGGTGCTTTCTGTGTGCAATCTATGTGCTGTTCATTTCCACTATACAGTGGAAACGATACCGTTTCATTATTTTGGTAAATATTACTGCTCCTGCTATCCTTGCAAGTCATTTTGATCTTCAATAAATATCTGCTCTGCCTTGTACAACACTGTATTCTAAAAATCTAGGGTACCAAGGCAACCCATGGTAACCTTTCACTCCAGCCGCTCTAATTTTACATACAAATACAGCATGCAATACAGATATACTCTCAGTTCCATTTTCTTAGGTGTTTAGTCTTGCTCTGGTGCCAGTGACAACTTAGTTTTTGACTGAGATCACACCAAATAAAATGCTTGTCAGTAAAAGCAAGGCTTTTCTGAGTGCGTGCAGCACAATGGGTACAAATTCTCAGCACAGTAGTCACTCAGTTTTAATTGCCTTTGCAGACACTCTGCACAAAGCAGAAGATAGCCTTCTCCATCTCACATAAGCCAGCTCATATTAGATGCACTGTTAGTGCATACTGAAGTGCTCTCACGGAGACAGCAAGGCATACCTATCCCGCTTTATACTCACAGCCTTCACACTAACTTCTCATATAGATAATCTCTAAAAGACACTAGGTACAGACTAGGGATAAAAGAAATAAAATAACAGGTTATTCACAATCTAGACAAGAACAGGTCCATAGAGTACAGCTAGAGAGATCTACTGTACAATCCTTATTAATCTACTTACGACAAGTTAGGAATAACTGTTAGCAAATCTCTAGACAAACCCTGAACAAAAAAAATTTTTAAAAATGCAGGACACGGTCTTGTTTACTGCCCACATACATCATCTAGGAAAAAAATTCTATTGATTCAAGGAATAAGCAAAAAAGAGCAATATGTCTTCCTTTGGCTTTAACACAGGGTTAATGTTACTAATTTTCTTATTACCTTCGCCATTTGAGTCCAAGTTCAAAAACAGCACTTCTGAGACAAGGTCAAAATCATGCTGCACGTTATTGTTAAGGAAACAGCGTACAGGGTCGGGACTTGTGTCTTGTTGAGATTTTACTTTCTCATTGCAAGGTCCCTATTACCACAGCTTCTGATAGCATAATGCTTCATAAAGAAATTACTTGAATGACTGCACACTGAAATCAATATTTCTCTCACCACTGATAGAAATAGTTGAAATAGATTTCATAGAATTAAATTGATTGGAGGGAATGTGGAGCAGTAAGGACTAGAAAGAAAGCAAAAATTTTATGAAGCGCCAAAATCTTGGCATGTGCAAGAAAGATCATTAACTATTCCACACTGCATAAAAAGAAGTTCATATTAATCAAGAACTGAGGTCACAAATGCAACAAGAGGTAGAACAAGAAGTTCTCAAGCATCCCAACCTACTGGGCAGGCTGTGAAGACATAGTAACAAATATTTTTACTGTTATTTGTCTTTACTTTTAATTAGTCACTTTTTACTGTTATCATCCAAAATTAGTTGAATCTGTTAGAAAATACAAGTTTAAAGTTTAAGAACCTGATAGATTAGAAGCATAAGAGAAAAAAAAATCTTTTTCAGGAAATCTTTCTTAAGTGATCTTTTAATGATGTATTAAATTTCTGTATACTGCTGAAAACTGGCAATCAGGCAATTTTAGATATGAACAGATAAAAGTGGAATTGTCACGATGCCAAGCAGCACTGACACTGAGAACACAAATATCAGCATGACAATCTTTATAGTTCTGTTATTCTTGTTAATATTCCACTCAGTCTTTCTGGTCTGTTGCACCCAGGCATGCAGGTCAGTTTTACATGATCATGTGTAAAATGAGGAAGAATAGTTATAAATCAAAACCATAATAATTTACAAGTGTTTGGCTGAAAGGCAGAAGTGTTTTTCTTCTTCTGATCAAGACCACTTAAATGAGCTCCAGATTTTTCTATGCTCCAAATATAAACTCATCTGCTCCCAGTTCTTAGTTTTAATAAATTATACTCTAGGAGAAAACAAGCATCCACGTGAAAGAAAAAATCTGAAGTGATGAACTAGAGCTCCTAAGACAGAAATTTGCTTTCAGTTTTTGCAGACATGCTCATGCAGCCCAAAGCAAGGCTGTACATGAATATGTGAGTTATTTTTGTTTAGATATATCAGCAAGACTAAGCAGCTCTTGGCAAGTTTACACCCCAAGGTTACTATATTGCTTCCAGTAACCCTAGTAAGTTGTGATCCTGTAGACATATCCTTGTGATATCCTTAATGAATTCTTTACAGTATTGGACCATTCTATGACTCAAATAATATTCAGGCTGCCATGTCTCAGGCCTGTACTACACTACTTCACTTGTTCTGGAAGTCAGAAACTGAAATGTGCAGTAGTCCTCTTATTGTAAAGGGGCAAGGTTTCCTTTGATAAATAAGAGTCTTTTCTACGGCTGGGATTACCTAATTAGGTGCCAGAGGGTTCACATCACCACACAGCAAGGGAAAGACCTAGATATTGGTGGGGACAAGGCAGCACTCAGGCAGGACACAGCAGTGACACAAAAAGATCACCAGAGAGGCAGAGAGGCAAGATGTTACAGAGAGGCAATTGTTACAGAGAGGCAAAAATTAAATAAAATCCAGATGCCGCTTAGCAACATCTTCAGGAAACATTGAAAGCACAACCAGTTCAAACCTGCCACAAAATTGGGTGGGAGAAAGAAGTTACATGTAAGAATAACCAATAAGATTGGAATAATTTGGACTCTCAGCCTGTACTCTTTTCCCTGTGCTTAAGTCTTTAAGTGAGGACATCCCTTGAAAACAAATGCCTCTCCCCTAAGGCAGGGATCTTCCCATATGACTAATAAGATTGAAAAGAAATAGGATAAAATGCAAGCGATCCAAAATTTATGATGCTGGGAAAGCAAACTCTCTTTTTTTCTTCTTTTGCTTTGTCTTTTTCTTGTTTCTTTTCTTCTAACTCACGTGGTTTACAGAATGATCTGTGACTAAGGAACCTAATGTAATTAGGGAACTGAATAACATAGTAGTAAATGTATCTTAAATGGGGTTGAATGCAGAATAATGGAAGCAACAGGATGAATTCCTTGCATGCTCCAATGGCTTGTGCCCATAACCATTTACAAAAAGAATTAGACATCTTTCTGAAAAGCACAATGTCCAATGGCAGTATAAAAACCACAAATAATTTTCAGCCTTCATTAAGGAACAGACAACAAGCAATCTGGAAGATATCAAAGTGCCATTATATGAAATCAACGGCACAATCACATTTCAGTTCTGGTCATCCAATTCCACCAAAACCAAAGCACAAATAGTACAGGAAAAGGAAAGGCAATAAAAACAATTTGAGACACAGAAATATTTTTGTATTGGAACAGATTGAAAACAAAGAAAAGAAATATTATAATTCTTGTTTGGAAAGCAAGAAAACACCTGGGAATATGACAGATCTATGAAATGAGTAATGTATAGAGAAAGGCAACAACTGGATCCTAGGTAATAAGGAAACAAAGAACAAAAGAGATTTTTCAAACCAATAAAACATATGAAATTCAGTTCCACAAAATACTAATGAAATGAAAATTTTATTAGGATTAAAAAGAAGCTACCTAAAATAAACACATTTCAGTAACGTGAGCCTGGTTGCTTTCAGATATTGTTGTGTGTAGGGATATAACTGCAAATCTTTCCATAAAAGATTAGATTCTAATCATTCTCTAAAAGATGTGGTATTAGCTACTGCTGGTCTCAGAAAATGCAGCTCTAGATGGATATTTAGACTGGGCAATTAGAGCAACCCGGGTGTTATTTGTGAAACTAAATAGCATAATGTGTCCACTAACAAATTAGTCAAAAACACTTTGGAAATTAACCATTTACTTCAGAAAAAAAAAAAAAGTTAAATGAAAAAGATAACATACCAGTGAGTTATTTCTCAAAAAAGGAAATAAACCAAAACAAACAATCCCCCACAAACACAAAAAAAACCAAACAAAAACACAACAACCAAAAAATCCAAACTAACAAACACCAAAAAAAGTATGAGAAGCATGATTCGTATCAATGAAGGTCTTGTTGTTTTGAATTACTTAGCACAAATAACTTTTGCCAATGTGTTCAAGACCTACAAAGGATGAAAACTTCTGAAAAATATTATTTATAATAACTTCTGTAACTTCAGTGCTTTAGCTAATTCTTACAATGGCTAATCATTTCTCATGCCTCCCCAGCCAAGGTTAGCAGTTGATCTCACCTGTAATTGAGCTACTACTTCAGATAGTGAAGCACACTCTGAAGGTATTCAACTTTTTATGAAAGATCAGAACAAGGTTTATTGATTCCAGGTTTTTCTCCCCCCTTCGGCTCATGGTAGAAAATTTCATACAGCATAATTGAAATAAAAGAGATATTAAACCCTAAAAGTCAAGGTACATATAATTAAAAAGTAATCACTGTTCACTTCAGCTGTGTTCTAGGACATTGTCTTATAAGTCTCAAAAGCCACATCATTTTAAACTACTCATTTCTGTCTGCTCTTTATTTACAAATTACTGGCATTATTGAAGTTCGTTTGCTTTGATTATTCCACGGACACCACTTAATAGAGAAATTTGAGCTTCCCAAGCTCATTTGACAGAGGTTCACAGATCACACTCAAACCAAGATCTCTGAGATAAAATGCACTTATTTATCCACTAAAGCCATCTACTGGAAAATCAATATCTCAGATGTAATGAGTGGTAAGACAAGTAAATTAGAGTACAGATTACTCTGTCAATTGGAACACATAACTTTCCTCTGTAATTAAGTATTTCATATGTGATGCACTGCATTTGGCACTGGTTGCTTTGTCTAATTACTGTACATTTCATTTTAAATGAACAAGAAATTTCCTAAAATACCTTGGCTTCCATTTCCAAAGGTGCACGAGCCAAAAGAGAGGCTCTAGAGTAGCGAGAAAAATTTCCTGCCCTAGCAGGAGCTGGCACTGGAAATAAAATGTTCTGTATAATTAATGTGCCTGTCCTTTTTCACTTCAGCCCTGCTACTGATATGAAAACAGTTACTTTTAGAATAGCTCTAATCATCACTTATCCAAAGCACAGGAACAGTGTGAATACAGGAGGCAACATGAAAAATTACAGCTGAAATCCATAATTCAAGGAAATATTTCTATTTAAAAGTACAGCCAGAAGAATACACAAATCCTCCATATTATTCTTAAAACGTCCATTGACAAAGAGCATGCAGACCCTGTCTCAGTTGGCAGGTGGTTGAGGCATCTAAAACCTGTTACACCTTTACTGACACAGGACTATATAGTGAGTTCAGGACATACACAGCAAAGTTCAACTTTGGAAGAGGAAGATCTTGGGGTGGGATGTGATCCCGGACAAACAGAATTCTGAACACTTGAGAGCCTATACCATAGTTAGAGTTTCCACACTGTCAAAGATAAAGGAAGAGTTTGGAGTTTGTCCATGCTACAACACTAGCGTGAAGGACCAGCAATAACCTGAGTCTGAGAGTTCTTCTGTTGTGCAAACCTCTGTTCTCAGGATGGAGATAACAGAAAGGATAGGGTATCTGCATCCCAAGAGTATGCCTGCAGACTTGTGAATATGAGTAGTGCCTGGACTCCTAGATTCAAGAGTCTGAAAGTTTTCAACTACCTCTAATCAAATTTAAACACAAAAGACTGATAAATACTATATTGGCATTTTAACAGATCTGAGACTTACATCTGTTTTTAAAGAAAGGGCTAGGGCACTTCAGATGCATAGTATTGGAAGATTATATACCAGAAGGACAAACTGGAAATACCATATCACCTTGTACACACTGATATATATATTTTTATAAAAGATATATTATTCTGCAGTTTTCAGGTACTGCATGTAGAAAAGTTTTGCTCACTCTAAGAATAAAAAGAACTGTGATGTCTGTAGTTCTAAAGAACATCATGGACGGAGATAAAAAGTTCACTTTTTTGTGTTGTTCATTTATTCTTCAGCTCTTTCCTTCTCACTGTTGCATCTGATCCACTATCCAGAGAAATCAAAGGAAGATTTTTCTGATCCGTGCTCCTCTGTTGGTGTCAGATACAATCAAAGACTAGGAGTTCATTGCATTACAAAGCGTTGAGATTTAGTAACAGATCAGATCAAATTGGTTAAGGGAAACTACCACAGATCAACATCTAAAGTGCATTGACTTTTTCTTGAGTAAAACCTGGCCCGTTGTCAAGGAGGAAAACTTTTCATATTTTGATACTCACTTTGTCCTTTCAAAGTCACATTAAAAAAACCACAGATGCATGAGAAAATAGTTAGTTGCTTAGACTTTCTCTTAAGTGGGAATTATCATTATTTTATTTAACATGCACTGCAGAGAAGGTATTTTATTGCCAAGGAAACAAAAATTAGGGTAGACCAAAGCCCTTCTGTATCATCAGTAACAGAGAAGAGAATTTATATAAGTATGAGCTAGGGAGTCTGTCTCTGTCTACATTGGGATCAGACCAACAAAAAGTGAAAAAAACACACTTCTTAGAGTGAAACTGCAGGAGACAAAGGTTCTGCCACTCTCACAAAAAAGCCAGGGAGCTGGGCACACAAAGTGATCTCTCCACCTGAGCAGCCACCAGCTCAAAGTCTAGACACATAACAGAGAAGAGCTTCAAAACTTTCCCAGTCATTCAGCACTCAGCAGGACTTAAGGTACAACTCACCTGCTAACCTTACATAGCAGAAAATCAGATTACATAAGGAGGATCATACTACCTTTAGAGTACTCTGATCCTAGAACAATAAGAATTCAGGTGATTCAACCTGCCTGCCCATCATGCTACTTCCATCCAGTTTGCTGCTAAAATTAGCTGCCTTTGTCACTCTGCTTGCAGGCATCCACAGTATAAACATTGAAAATATGGAAGATGTATAGCCTGAAATGTTTCTGGTTTTCACATAAAACTTCATAAAAATCTATTCACTTTATTCCTAGCAGTCATGTAGACACTTTTCACTGAGCAATAATCATAGGATCTAATCTTAGTGTCAGGTTCAACCATGCCCTCAAACCCTGAAGAAGGCACAGCTGAAGCCATTTACGTTTTCATGCAAAGGAACTAGGCATGGAAGAGTATTCAGGAAAAGTAATCTAAGTTCACTTTTTAATATGATTAGTTAAATTGCATTTGCTGGCAAGTGGATGCTTTGACTCAGAATGAAAGTGACCTTAACTTGGTTTAGTTTAATTTGCTTTGGAAGAAGATCAGGAATTAATCTGATTTAACTAATCCACCTTAAGTCCATTAATTACTTCAGATTCTTGAGTTTTCCAGTGCAGACAAAACCACTTTCATCTTATCAGAATGTGAGCTTGCAGATCTAGAACAATTTAAGGAGCATATTCCAGATACAGGTTAGCATCTCCATAGCTAAACCTCATTAAATAGTTTTGTGATCTTAACACAATTCCATTGCAAAACAAGAGATTAGTCACCTACAGTGGTCTACAGAGCAGGTCATGTGTGCACTAAATACAATAGACTCGTTTCAGGCAGGCTCACCAGATACTCTGTTGCTCAAGAGGCTTTTAGCTGATAACGATTGGAGGTTTTATGGGTCAAATTGTTTTATCAGCTGAACTGGTATATTGAAAATACTGAAAATGCATCTTGAAAGAAAGAAAATACAGAACTTTTCTCTTTGACTTTGCAGTAGCATTGGTCTTCTTTCCCAGTTTTTAAGAATTTCTCCTAGAGCAGTTGATATGCAACCAGGATAGACGCTCCGAGGCAGAAAGTTTCAGGTGGCCCTAGGGCACCAATTCATCACACAGTGCTGGTATGAACCTTGCTCAGTATTTTCAAAGGTTTTCCATCTATCACCTAAAGGGAGGTCAAACATATTGATTACTTTGCAGCTCTTCAGAGGATGGAAATTACCATCAGATTAGGGGAAATCTGAACTAGTGACACAAATGCAAATGGTAATTCACTCAAGGAAAGACAAGCTGAAGTCAAGCCTGCTGCAGTTATTCATTGAGGTTTCGTGACACTTGTCAGCCACATATCACAAATTTACTGCAGGGAACAAGTAGACAACAGCCCTACTCTTGCCAACCCAGCCCAATAAAATGCTTCAGGGAGAACTCGTCTCCACACTTCTCGTGGTCCCAACTCTCTCAGGGAAAGGCTTCTACTCTCCCTGCCTTACACCTACACTAACCTCAGCAGGCAGGACTGAGTGCAGCTGGGGCTAAGCCACTTTCCTTTCAGAGGACCTGTTTAACCTGGGTATGGAACAGAAGTCTGGGGCAGGATATGCTAAATCCATGCTAATGCTCCTTCTGGCCTCCAGGAAAAGGGGTTGGGAGGTGCAGATTCCAGCACAAAACTCAGAAAAACACAAGAATATAGTAAAGACACCGAAACAGCTTTACTCTTAGCAGAAAAACTGTCTCAAACCTGTTCATAGTATGTTGGTCTCAGCTTGCATTCCTCTGCCTACCATGTCATGAAGCCAATGAGCTGATGCCCAAAACACAACTAATGACACATTTCACAGCTGAGTGGGGTATATGACCCACTCAGTCACTGAATGAACAGTATCTGTCCTACCTGAACATTACCACATACTCTCCAGACAGTTAAAAACATCACTAGCCACTAGTTGTGGCAGGCAGAATGGGAGAAATCCTCTAATCCCACCATGAAGCCCGACAGATGCTGGTTAGCTGAAAATGCATGACACTTTCTTTCACTTCAGAGTCTGCCTGAGTCCCCTCTGAAGCAACAGAACTGAGGCAAGTGATCTACATTTTAACTAACACTTTTTGACTAAATCCAGTTCCCACAGTAATGAAACCATCATGAACTAGTGGCAACCAATGAAAATAAACTCACTTATGAGTTTGACTAGATTCATCTAGGAAGTTAACACTAGAAGGTTGTAACAGGTCTGGAAAATAAGTAGTTTCGTATGGTTAGCCTTCTCCAAGATTGTTAAATTTCTACAACAGCAAAGCAGGTAAAATGCTAAATTTAGCACTAAACAGACTTTCTATTTTAAGGCATATTTATGACAATAAAAACTACTGTCTTACACACACACACATGCAAGTGTTATGGCTGGAGTTTCTTTATTGATTTAGAAAAAGATACATTTTCTGCTAACCAGACATTAAAGGAACCAAATAAGAATCTCACACACCCTGTAAACAAAATATATAGACCATAAAAGCCAAACACCATGATGAATATAGAAATAAAATCTTGTGTCATAATCATATTATTACCTGAGTATCAGTCACAGCAGTATGCTACTTTGGACTGGGATAGAGTTAATTTTCTTCACAGTAGCTAATATGGGGCTATGGTTTGGATTTGTCCTGAAAACTGTGTTGATACGACAGGGATGTTTTTGCTGCCTCTGCTGAGAAGTGCTCACACAGAGTGAGCCTTTTCTTCTCACACTACCCCACCAGTGAGTAGGCTGGGGGTGCACAGGGAGCTGGGAGGGATCACAGCCAGGACAGCTGGTGATACAGCCAACTGACCAACGGGACATTCCATATCATATGGCATCATGCTCAGCATGCAAAGCCGGGGTAAGAAGGAGGAAGGGGAGAACATTCAAAGTGATGGTGTTTGTCTTCCCAAGTGCCCATTAGATAAGATGGAGCCCTGTTTTCCTGGGAATGGCTGAACACTTGCCTGTCCATGAAAAGCAGTGAATTAATTCCTTGTTTTGTTTTGCTTGTGTGCACAGCTTTTTCTTTATCTATTAATCTGTCTTTATCTCAACCCATGAGTTTTCACACTTTTACTCTTTCAGTTCTCTCCCCCATCTCACTGAAGAGGAATTAGCGGGTGGCTGTATGGTGTTTAGTTGCTCGTTAGGGTTAAACCCCATGGAAACATCCATTCTGCAGGTACACCCTGAAGTGTGGATGGCTATGAATGAGGTCATGATGGATCACCTCAAAATGTGCAGCCATGGATAAGACCATGACAGAGCAGGTACTCCCCTGCAGGGACTGCAGCCACAGGCAAGGCCATGTTGGAGCGAGTTTACTTTTGAAGGGACTGTGACTATTGGTAAGGCCATGCTGGAACAGGTATACTTCTGAAGGCATTGTGGTCCACAGATAGGGCCATGCTGGAAAAGATGCACCTCAGAGCAACTGTGTCTTTGGATAAGTCTCTACCACAGCAGATGTACCCCTGAAGAGACGGTGACTCGTAGATAAGGCTCCACAACCCTAGGGGACTCCGGATAGATCTGTGCATAAGACTAAGCCAGAGAAGGGGCAAGTGGAGGAGTTCATTGCAATGTTAAACCAGATGTCTGGTCCAAGGGTATTGCAAATACCTCTAAAACATTGTAACCTGGGATTGGAGTTGCATATTACGACAATTACTACATCAAGAACCCCTTGATGCTGGCTAAGCTAGGAGCAAGGTGAGGAGTTCATTGCAGTGCTAAAATCTGCAACCTGGCACAAAGGGACAAGGAGTGGAGATTGTAATCGAAATATGTTTAAGTTGTTGTAACCTGTTATTTCAGTTGTATATTATAGGAATTACTATAGCAGTAACTATTGGAACCAATGGAGGATAAGCCATACAAAAAGCACTGCAAGCGCAGCAGTGACCCAACCCAAGCTCCCTTTGGTGCCCAATAACTCCATGCAACACATCACTTCTTCTCTCCTGAGTGACCACCATAAGCAGCAGACAACAGGAAAAGAATATACACAGTCTACAGTGGACTACAGCAATATATTGCTGTATTTACATGCAAGTGACAGATAATGGAATATCTCCACAACCATCTTGTGTCTTGCTGCTCTCCAGACAAACTACTTTGGGTTTTGGGTGGAACAGAAAAGAGAAGAAATCTGCAATTAATAAGATGAGTTTTTAAAGTGTTCCGTTCTACGTGTATTTATTCTTTCTCTCCCTTGTGGAAAAGCTAAGGGAAAAGAGAGGGAAGAACCTCTCAGGAGTGCTGTTAGAGATAGATAATTCACAATGCACATTCTCACTCACAATGCTTATTTGTGTATGTTTTCAAATATATTTTACATAGATATACAAAAGATATTTCCAGACACATAATGCAACATGGGATTTCATATTAAGTTTTATAAGATCAAGTTAAACAAGAGAGAAAGATACAGGAAATTGCTACATTAAGCAACTCAGATGCTATGACTTTTCACTAATTTTAACTCAAGACACAAAACAAAGATTATTTGTTTGTTGCTACCCTCTGTGCCAGGCCTGAAAGCTCAGAGACCTGTGGTTGTGGAGGCAGTGGACTTAATGCAAAGAAATAACTTCACTCAAATCATTCTCGCACTGTTTCAAGGGAAGGGCAGAAATACAAGTGACTCAGGTACTGCCCGAAAATGTACTCTGGCAAGCTGTGAACCTATAACACAGCTGGCAAAATCTATGAACAAGAATCAAATCTCAGTTCAAGCCCTGGATGACATTGAATCTACTTTGTGTGGAAAAGTCTTTCCTAGTCACCTTCTTCCTTCTTAACAGTAGCTCTTCTGTTCATCCTTTGATCAGCCCTACCACCTGTTCTTATAATTTAAGGACTACAGATCAGCTCCCTGAAGTGTCTAATACCCACAGCCATCAGCCTGCTTCCTGCCTGTGCCTACTCGCCACAACTACTGAGCCTTTTCTTCCATTATGTTTTTAGGTTTCAAATTAGCAAAACTATCAACGTAGCTTCAGATCAGACTCCCTCCTTTCCATTACAAACTATATTGCTCATATACCTTCTCACAGCCTACCTTTCCTACCAGCAATCCTTCTTCAGCACATATAAACATATTTCCTTCACGCTTAGTTTTTTCATGTTTCTTTGATGATACTACCTACTTCCTGCCTCTCCCTTTTCTTCCTCTGCTCTTTTTGGTACTTACAATTTCTTCAATTTCTTTGCTTTCTCTTCTCGGATGGTTCAATATGCCCTTTTCTCCCCTCTTCCACAGACTGTATGTGATTCAGTTCTCCACTTAGCCTACCCTCTGCTCTTTCATTCTTATATTTGATTTTGAAGTTACATTCCACAAAATCTAAACAAAAAGCAGGAAAGAAAGCAAGTACTAGTAAAGCCCAGATCATAGATCCATACATCCTCCAGCAGAGTTTAGCTCTGGGGGCCTTGCTAACTAGTGGTCTTTAAGGAGAGCAAACAGGTAACACACTTGGAGCAGAAAATGACTGCACTCAGCTGTCCTGGCTCTAGCTCACATCACTGTGAGATAGATATTGCTGTGCTCCATGGAGCCAGGTGTTACTCTCAGTGTAGAATATAAACACCACATAAGCAAAAAAAAAACTTAACACAGGACAAAACTACTTACTTAATATTAGTAAAGCATTCTGGAAAATAAAGTCCCAGAGGACTACTGCTCTTCCAGGTGTGTGGCCTGCAGCCTTATGCCTTTCAGCAATCCAGCTGAGGCAGTCAATAACCTCTTCGAAAGATGCTGCTGCCCAGAGTGAATTATCACTTAATTAGATGGAGCTGGGATGTTCTATCACATGTGCAATGCTTTATGAATAAAATCAAGCATAGTCTGCTTTCTAAGCATTCATCTCACCACAGCACAAAACCTGGGAAGTGACAGCTTTCTACCAGAAGGAAATCTACCCAAAAGAGATATCTGTTATGTTTCAGAAAGGAGTGCAACTATAAACAGTTCAAACAATTCAATAGTCTGCAGTGCTGTCAGTCATAAATGCTGATGTGGTGCAGGAGCAGAGAAAAGTTCCAGTCAATATCAGGACCCTATTGTGAGGAGCTGTATCAATGTGGGAAAACAGCCTTGTGAGAGTTTCTCTGCAAAAGCAGCCCCATGGTCATTCCCCTCCTATGCTCGTTCTAATTCCCTGCTAAGGATGCCTCTATACTAATCCACTTCCAAACTTGTTTGAAGCAATTTCAGAAAGATCCTCTGTTTGGATTAAGAATGGCCACATGATGAGTTTGTGCAAAAACAGCTGGCATGTTTTAAATTCACATTCTAGATTGTTTCAAAACAGCATTCGTGTACAAGGTTATACTTAAACATAAAATCTCTATCTTGAAGGATTTATTAACCAAAAAATCCAATCTTGCAAACACTTATACACCTTCTCAACTTGCGGTACACAATTAAACCCTTACTGTATGTTTTAAGAAGCTTGCATAAAATTTCATGATCTAAAATGTTAGGAATAGCTTTTAATTTCCAAGTTAATCGGAGGTATCTCCCTCATGTCAAACTCATAACAACGGGTCAATAAATTCAGTAGGAGGTCTTTTCAAGCAACATTTAAATTTCCAGTTCATAAAAGAAGACTCTAAAATCAGCATATACTTGAGTGAATATTGCACTTCTCAAGAGGCTAAAATCACTTATACTTCTCACATTTCAAACGTTTTGCTAGATCAAATACTATAAAGACACATGTTGACATTTTAATTATTTAGTTAGTCCATTACTGAGGGCTTTCTATACAAAATTGGCGCAACATTAATTCCCTGGTTAATTTAACTCTTAAAAAGGTAGTGCAAGGAGTGAACAGAAGGATGAAGGAAAGATTTTAAGTAATATGGATGCTAAAATGTTTCCTAATTTGTGTAGCACATGGAAAGTCCCTACAAAAAGCAGTTAAAGAAACATTTGTGATTTATACATACATGGGGCTAGACCTCCAGGGGACAGTGATAGTAGCCCAAATAAATCCAAAGACCAATTAAATAAATAGAATAATTGAGTAGCTTGGGTTGGAAAAGACCTTAAAGATCATTTAGTTACAACCCCCCTTCTATGGTGAGGAATACTTTCCACTTGACCAGGTTGTTCAGAGCTCCATCCAACATGGCCTTGAACACTTACAGGGTTTGAGCAGCCACAGTTTCTCTGGGCAACCTGATCCAGTGCCTCACCACCCTTGCAGTAAAGAATTTCTTCCTAACATCTCATGTAAATCTATTCTTTTTCTGTTTGAAGCCATTGCCCTTTGTTCTGTCACTACATGCTCTTGTAATAGTTTCTCTACATCTTTCTTGTAGACTCTCTTCAGGTACTGGAAGGCTGCAATTAGGTCATCCTGAAGCCTTCTCTTTTCAGGGCTGAACAAACTGAATTCCGTCAGCCTTTACTCATAGGAGAGGTGCTCCATCCCTCTCATCATCTTGGTGGCCTCCTCTGGACTCGCTCCAGCAGGTCAATGTCCTTCCTGTGCTGGGGATCCCAGGGTCGGATGCAGCACTACAGGTGATGTCTCACAGGAGCAGAGCAGAGGGGCAGAATCCCCTCCCTTGACCTGCTGGCCACACTGCTTTTGATGCAGCTCAGGATACAATTGGCTTTTTGGGCTGCA